TTTTCTAAAAATAGAAAGGAAAGGAGGATTGCATTTGCCCCTTAAGATCGAGGATTTGGTTTACGCCGATATGTATCTTAGTCATGTTGGCTGTGTCCAGCATGTGTTGAGGTAAATAACGATTCATTGCAATTACTCCATATTTATTTTATGTTCCCGATGATGCGTGTTGTGGGTAGTCTTAAAATATTATATATTAGGAAACCGCCTTTATTAATAAAGACAGTTGTCATCTGAACTCTGTTGTTTCATTGTCACTACATGGTGGCAGCGGTTAAAATACCTAAATAGTTTTGGATTTTACGTTTGAATAACGTTAATTTGTATTCTAAATTAAGTGTAAAGGATGGAGCATGCAAGACCACCAACCGAATTGAGTTTAGATGGCAGCCCCGTCGGCCGGGCTGATGCATGGAAGCGGTGGAAGGCACAATCTTTTTCTTAAAGCATCGGGGGTGCACAAAGAAGAGGGAAGCATACAGGCGAGTTTGCTCATTAATCTGATTGGATCAGATGGATTTGATGTTTATGAGACTTTTACATTCGATTCAGAAGAGCAACGTGAGGATATCGAAATATTGATGAAAAAATTTGACGAGTATTTCGGTGTTCAATCTAATATAACATTATTGAGATATAATTTTTTTACGAGGTATCAAGAAACTGGAGAATCTATTGATCAATATGTAACAGCGTTAAAGTTACTCAGTAAAAACTGTGAATTTAAAAATTTAGAGCAAGAGTTGATTCGCGACCGTATTGTGTGCGGCATAAGGAGCACAATTGTAAGGGACCGGTTGTTACGGACCGATGAATTGACTCTGGAGAAAGCAATTAAAATATGTCAAGCTGATGAAATGTCAACAGACAGCAAGCGTGTGATGGAAACAGGTAGCTTCGGCAGTTCGGCGAGCTGCGGGCCCGTGCGCGTTGAGGCGCTGGCGATGCGCGGCGGCGAGCGGCGCGGTGGCGAGCGGCGCGGTGGCGGACGCAGCGGCGGGCGCGGCGGCCGGCGCGGCGCGCGAGCTGCGCACGGCGGGACCGCGACGTCGCCTTGTCCGCGTTGTGGTGCTCAGTGTACTGATGTAGATTCATGTCCAGCTATTTCGGTGAAATGCTATGTGTGCGGTAACTACGGCCATTACGCTAGGATGTGCAAATGTAAAAATAGTGTTAAAAAAAAGTATGAAATAGAAGTGAATACAGAAAAATCTAATAATGATGATTGTGAGTCGTTTTGTGTATCTGTGTTAATGGATAAAACGCAGAACAAAATCGGCGGCGATGACTGGTACGAGGTATTAAGAGGTGAGTGTGGCTTTGAACGTTTTAAGCTGGATACCGGTGCCGACATTAATGTGTTATGTTATAAGAGATTTTTAACGCTAGGGTTTGACACGGAAATGATATGCAATAATAATAAAATGAAATTACAGTCGTTTAGCGGGGATGTTATTCCGATAAGAGGAGTTTGTCATCTTAAATGGTGGCATAAAAGTAAAATGTATGTTTTAAAATTCGCAATAGCAAATATTAATTGTGAAAGTATGCTGGGTCGACAAGCGTGTTCGGAACTAGGGTTAATTCAACGGGTTTACGGCATTAATTTGGTAGAAAATTCGGATCTTTTTGAAGGCTTAGGATGCTTACCTGGTGAGTACCATATAGTTATTGATAAATCAGTTAAACCTGTAGTTTGTGCTCCGCGAAAAGTACCTCTAGGATTACGTGATAAATTATTAGAAGAATTAAACAGGATGACTGACTTAGGAGTCATTAGAAAGGTCACTCACCCAACACAATGGGTTAATTCAATAGTAATTGCAGCAAAAAAGAACGGAACATTGCGAATTTGCTTAGACCCGAGACCTCTTAATAATGCTATACAGCGTGCACATTTCCAACTGCCAACCATTAAGGAACTTGCCACTAAAATTCACGGAGCTAGTTTCTTTTCAGTATTAGACGCAAATTCAGGTTTTTGGGCAATAAAACTTGATGATCAGAGTTCAGACTTATGCACCTTTAGTACACCGTTTGGGCGCTATCAGTATTTAAGATTACCTTATGGGTTAAACTGCGCTTCAGAGGTGTTTCATGCTAAGATTAAGCAATTAATAGAGGATTTAGATGGAGTAGATTCTTTTATAGACGATATAATATGCTGGGGACGAAATAAAGACGAACATGATAGGCGTTTAAATGCATTATTAAATAGGGCTCGTGAAATTAATTTAAAATTTGATAAAGATAAATGTCGTATATGCGTTGAGGAAGTGACTTACTTGGGTCATATATTTAACAAAAACGGGATGAAACCAGATTTAGAAAAAGTAAAAGCAATAAAAAATATGCCAACTCCAAAAGAACGAAAATCATTAGAACAATTTAAATTATTTATCTAAGTTTATACCTAAGTATTCTGAGCGTATTTTTCCGCTTACTCGATTATTGAAAAAGGACACAGAATGGTGTTGGGAGAGTGAACAACAGAATGCGTTTGATTTATTAAAATATTTAATAAGCAAATCACCCGTGTTGGCTTTATATGACGTATCGCAACCGGCTGTAGTTTCGGTGGACGCGAGCAGTGTAGCGCTAGGAGCCGTGCTGTTGCAGGGCGGCCGACCTATTGAATATACTTCATGTACACTCACCGACACACAGACACGATATGCGCAGATAGAAAAAGAAATGCTAGCTATTCTCTTTGCGTGTGAAAAGTTCCACCAATATATTTACGGTAAAAGTGATGTTTTAATTGAAACAGATCATAAACCGTTAGAAAGCATTTTTAAAAAGCCCTTAGATTCGATACCAGCACGCTTACAGCGAATGATTTTACGATTACAATGTTATGATTTGATAGTTACATATAAGCCTGGAAAATATATGTACTTGGCCGATACATTGTCACGTGCTCCTATTCCAGAACTATATAATGATAAAGTGAGTGATAATGTATTATGTCAAGTACATATGATAGTTTCTAACATGCCTGTTTCACATAAAAAATTAAGTGTAATTAAAAATGAGACTTTGAAAGATAATAACTTAAAACTTTTAATGAGATATATAAATCAGGGTTGGACGGAATATAAAAGAGACATTGAAGATAATTTAAAATATTATTGGTCAATGAGAGGAGATTTATTTTGTGTAGATGGCGTTATATTTAAAAACAAACAAATATTAATTCCCAGTTCCTTAAGAACCGAAATGTTAAAAATTATACATGATGGACATTTAGGGATAGACCGCTGTAAAAGGCGCGCACGTGAAGTGCTATTCTGGCCAGGGATTTCTTATGATATAGAGAGATATGTAAATAGGTGTGTAGTGTGTCGAGAGAATTCAAATAACTTGAGTAAGGAACCGATGATTGCTGTTTCTATTCCAAATTTACCATGGAGTAAAATCGGGACAGACATATTTCAGTATGGTAAAAAATCATATCTGATTATTGTGGACTATTATTCATGTTTTACGGAAGTAGCATTGTTACATGAAACTACTTCTAAAAGCGTCATAAACGTACTGAGAGAAAATTTTGCTAGGTATGGGATACCAGACATTGCAATAAGCGATAATGGTCCACAATTTTCAAGTCGGGAATTTAAAAACTTTGCGGTGGAGTGGGGATTTGAACACATAACGTCATCACCCAATTACGCACAATCAAATGGTAAGAGTGAAAGAGCCGTGCAAACAATAAAAAAGATATTAAAAAAATCCATAGATAGTGGAAGTGACTTTTATTTAAATTTGCTAAGTTATCGAAATACGCCTCGCGATAATTTGAATTCTCCCGCACAGCTGTTGATGGGTCGTAGGTTAAAATGCAGGCTACCTGTGCACCCAGACCTTTTAAAAATAGGACATGTAAATAATGAGAGTCAACACAAAGTTATGCTAGATAAACAAAATAAATACAAAATGTATTATGATTTACGTGCCAAGCCTTTACCTGTATTGGATGTTGGCGATAAGGTGACTATGATAGAAAAAAAAATAATTCTAAAATTCCAGGTCATATCATTGCAAAAGCGGCGACTCCCCGCTCATATTTTATTAAAACTAAAAGAGGAATGGTGTATCGCCGCAATCGCAGACATCTAATAAAAGATAAAACACAAGAAAATAGAACGTCAGCACAAATAGTACATGAGAATAAAGAACATAATTCAATGACAACAAAAACTACTTTTACGAGTAGTGAAAATGAGGAATATTCTTCGAACGATGAATATGAACCGACAATGTTAAATATTGAAGTTAATGAAAATTATTCTCCGCCTCTCACTCGAAGTAAAGTAAATAAAAACAAAAAATAACCGGTTTAATTAATCCTTTGTATTCAAAAAAAAAAAGGTTCAGGTTATGGTAAAAAAAAATGTACTTAAGTAAGTTTTTTATTCATGTCTTTCTTGGTAAGATTATTTAAAAATAGATCACTTTTGTTAAAAACTTATTCTTTAAGGGGAAGGTGTTGTGGGTAGTCTTAAAATATTATATATTAGGAAACCGCCTTTATTAATAAAGACAGTTGTCATCTGAACTCTGTTGTTTCATTGTCACTACAGTGCGTAATTTTGTGAGAAAGAAAACCACACAGCCCAAATAGTCTAAAGAGACGTTATGTATACATATGGTTTCCGTGGTTTCTTTTTGTTTTAACCGTCTTATCATATTGTTTATGCTTTGCTTTACGCGAGGAACGGTTAGATAAAGATGAATTAATGTCACTTTATAAGCCGGGTCCTGCTGCTTTGTACCGTTTTAATATCTTCTTCGTCGTTGATAATTTGCTCCAGTGTTCAGAAGTTAATAAACATTGTTATCAAAATCTGACGATTCTGGTCACACCACACTTTACATAAATTATTTTTAAAATTATAACCGATTCTAGGTAGGAAATTGAAATTAGTAGGAAAGGTTTAAAAATTACAATAAAACAATTTTAGTTTGATTGGTTAAGGCATTCAATTTATTATGTACTTTCAATTAAATCTAATTTCGTTGATTAAATCGAAGAATATTTTCGTGAAAAAAAATATTGGTATACGAATAAAAACCATAATTAACTCCATTAACGAAATCACCGATGAACCTATGCAGGTATTTATGACACCACCGCATCTCACTGTAAAAATCATATTGTTATTTTAATATAATTTAGTATATAAAAGTTAAATGGAGTTTTAGAAACCTTTACTGTATCACAGAATATTTTCGCTCTTAAAAGCTCGTGAGTTTTAGTGGATACCTTCCTACTAGTAATACTGCCCTCCGTCACGTTGTTAGGACTTGTGGGAATTAGGTTTGCCTTGATTGGGATGGTTTTCCGCAAGCAGTCGGTAACCAAATGCATGTTTATTTAGCAACACTATACACTGTGTGAAAATGAAGTGAGTACTTGGTAATTTTTCTTTACCATAATTACAGGCCATGAAAAAATTTATCTTTATTCTTTTAACAAAAAGCTAAATGAACAGGCAGTTCTTGTTTTGGTTTATCAATCAATATATCATCAATCGTATATCAATAAGGGTTATTTTTTTGTTACTTTATCGTTTTAAAAAAGAAAATATCTTACAGAAAATATCAGAGAAACTGAAGATAATGTCTCTCACAATTCTGATCTTTGGAAAGGAAATGATTATTCTTAATCGGTTCGCAGAAGAATCGGGCATGAGATCCTCGCTGTCCTTGCGATATATATCTGTTTCGCAGTTACTCAGACATTTACAATCCTTCGATGACTTAGGTAACTTGCCTTTTGTAGTAAATTTATTTTGTGTGTCATTAGAAACTGACAGCCCCATAATTTCTCTTCTATATTGAAGAAAACATTTGAGTTCAGATATTTTACATGTTCGCTCGTGACCTTAAAATGAAGAGATCTATTAATTACACAAAACTTTCAACTAGGTACGTAGTTATAATATTATACTTTTTGTTAATAAAATATTGCAAACAATTTGTTTCTTTCTTATTGACATTTATCTTTGTCATTTTAATAGGAACACTTTTACATCAACTTTATTCGGGTATAGGCTTATTCAGTCACATAGTAGGAAGCATGGCCCCGAGTGACATATATTTAGAAGCGGCATTTTGGGAATTAAAGTCAATCCACGCCCGTGGCTAACGATGGATTTTTTAGGAATTTAGCCGCTCCGAGCCGCTAAAGCCTAAAATGCTCCCACCCCATCTTTGCTACTGGATTTATTCTTTTGGATAATTTGTAAGCATACAAAGATATTGAATGGCCAATATAATAAATAATAATAAATTTTTCGATAATATTATTGTTCGCAAAGTTAATACATAAAGCGTTTGGAAATGTTTTTTTTTTTTACAAAGCCTAAGCTATTATTTTTATAATACGTGTCGCTAGAAATTTAAGTTTTAAAACTTTTCCGCCAAAATATTATGTAATGGAAATTAAAGTTTCTTTGAAATTTATGTGACTGTTACAGTAATCACAGGTTTACTGTATTGTTAATAAAAAATATAAATTGGATTTCAAAGAACTCGTAATGTTTATGGCTTATAATTGACTTTCTTTAACAGTCTGTAAGTCTCATGGTATAGCATGACCTCTTCTGTTGTCGGGAAGAAATACCTTAATCGACACGCTTGGTATGCGCGGATTGACGCGCGCACAACCAGACGTCTCGCACTTCTGACTCTCTTGCCTGTTGATAGTTTGGGTATTTTATGTTTGATGTAAACGAGATCTACCTCCATCTATCAGATGTCACAATTAATTTTCAGGTATTTCCAATAACCGTGAGTCATGATCACATCTAAATGAAGATGTCTATTGACATGTTAGATTTTAGTGAAATAAATAAAATATTATTTTTCGCACCTACCTGTTCTTTTATAAAAATGTGGAACGCAGCCACATAACTTTAAAATCAGTTGAATACGGCATTCTAATAAGCAATTATTGTAGGAATAAACGGGATATCTTGTGCTAATCGGTTCATCTAGAAATCTAAAAAAGAAATTATATATTTTGATACCTTAAAGCGAACTGATAAATATAACGTATACACTTTGAGCAAAATTAGTTTTGTATGAAGAATATCCAGTACTCCATATCATCCTGTGGGTGTCGTAAGAGGCGACAGAGGGAAACTGAAATAGGAGAGGGTCCGCAAAAGCTTTTTAAATAATATCTGGTAATCGGACAACTGATAATGATCTATGGTAAAGGCTTAAAAAGAGGATAAGCAAAATTGGCAACGAAGCATTCTTCATTTGACGGTATCGTATAGAATGTTGACATTTGAGATCAAATGATCTCTGTTTTATCTACTGACATAATTCCACGACTTTAGGTGGCCTATGTGGCCGCTTGTTACCTGTTACTATTGTTCTATTCTTCCATCAAATTACTGGCGTTTCCCTTTGTGGGGAAGATTTGCCATACAAACCCCGTTTAATAGGCGGATTGGCAACGTCTCGCACATTTGACGCAGGTCTCTGTCGCCAATCTGTGTATTTCATCTGGTGAAGACTGGATGGATATACCACATTACTATCACTTATCAAAGGTATGGTGGTAAGTGGTATAGGTGGTGTTGGTAATGGTACCTGCATTTTCGCACATGTATTGAGGTAGCCCGAAGCTCTTTTGAAACTTTTGTGCTCCAGATTTGAAATCCGTACGTTATAAAGCCATCTTTATCAACTGTGTACGAAGGAGAAGTACTGAGAATAGTTTCATCGGGGCTATGTATAAATACCTATAAGGAAGCAGTCATGTATTAATATATAACAGACAGTAGCTTTACACATTTTTTAAATTAATAAATTTCTAAATGATGTTGCTGGACTACATCTTAAAATGAATATAACATGCGATGAAAAAAAAATAACACTGCATAATTCGCCTATGATTCGAAAAATTATAAATAAAAATTACGTACATAAGAAAGAGCATCGTCGTTGATTATTTCAGTATAGAAGTCGGCATCAAACACTGATAATTCCACATTTTTCTTGATATATGTTACGATTTCATTATTCCATTTCCTGAATAAGTAAACAAAAGTTATTTTTTTCGAGGAAGTGACTCAGTTATTGTACAAGTTTATATAAAACTCAAAAGTACGCGCATCTTTTTCTAGAACTAGCAGTATTGTGTAACTGTTATGCTTTTCGGCTTTACCGTACTAAAATTATAGTCGAGTTTTTAGTAGGCTTTGCCTCGAAGTGGAGCGAACATTTGAAAAATGAAGAAAATGTTAAATTTAGACCATATCGTAAACAAGCATTATACGAGCAGTTTTTTTATGACACATATGTTTTAAACGTCCATTTAGATTACTATACTACTTACAGAAAAGTTTCAATATGGCTTGTCGAATTAATATTGTAAATCACTTCGCAATGAAATATGTCGTATAGTGACGGCGTAACAGAATTCACTTACCTATGTTATGGTGTGTGTCGTTAGAGCCGACGAAAGGAAATGAAACAGAAGAGCATATTTCTAATAAATTAAAAAAAATCGTGGTTGCTAACCCTATGTTTAGCAGTGGACTTTATAGGCTGTAATAAATAAGATATATGCTTACTGTACAGAGTACACATATGTAGGTGGACGTTATCGCGTTTGTTAGCACCTTTTATCGTACTAATGCTGACAAACGCACTCTGTATAGCTTGGATTCTTTTTTAATTCTAGTCTATGGAAATTTATTTTTCTATGTCATGGAAAATTATTTTTATATTAACGTAAAAACTACACATTAAATTTAAATAATGATTTATCGGGTCTCATTTTATTCTCTTAAAATTTAACGCGATAAATCCATAACATTATTAACATTCAATTGTTCCCTTTATGTCGAGTCTCGTTACTTGAGTTTATAATTCTCTTTTCCTGCAATGATTATGATATTTACGTTTCCTTTATCTTTTATGCCTGGCTATTTAGATAACAATCTCAATATTATTTTTGGTAAAAGTACTTTTCTTTTTCTTATTGTTACTGTTACAGTTGTTTTAGTGTTCCGTAACAAAATTAGCAAAACTAATTTGAATCACCTCATTGTCTATATATCTGTAATATTTTTTTCAGACACTAAGCATAGAGTAATGGTCAAGGTTACGGAGTGCAAACTTAAGAAATCGTGGGTTCAAATCTGCCATCTACTGCTGTGGTGAACCACTTTTAACACAAGTATTTTATGCTTGATTTATTCCTCCCCTTCCCTTCACTATCAGACAACCTGACCCTCATGTTTTTGTTGTTAATATACCATGAATTCGAACCAAACGGATTGCTTTGTCGTTCATAAAGCGTAAAACAAAGAAGTGAAATAATTTGGCAGCATCTGTTTTCATGCGAAGCATTTTAAGCTTGCTTGAAGTTATTAACGGAATTATTAGTAATGTTAAAAATGTTGCTGGTAGTTTTATAAAATAAATAAAAAAAATCATGCAGATGCTCGAAGTAGTTAAAATAGGGTTGTGATGTACAACATTCGAATTTTCATCTAAATAAATTTGTGTAGTGGCGTTGTGAGAATATACTATTCCGCATAATATCGTCCCTTGGGTATTGTTAAAGGTGACAGATGAAATGAATCAAGAGATGGGCAGCAGCGTCTCCCTAACAACAACTAGAAGATAAAAAATTGCGGTTGTAAACCCACCTGCCAAGCGCAGCAACTGTAGCAAATAACTCTCTATTAGATAATCTATGTAGAGGCCTACGACCAGCAGTGGACTTTGATAAACTTTTATGGATAATAGAAGTTTCTTTTCGGGTGTAAAATGGGAAATTAATTTAATGAGATTATTTATTTTAATTGCAGGAGGTATTATCAGGAATTGTTCTCAGTATCAGATGCACATTTTTGATGCCACTCCCCGTCACATGTAAGGGTATTTTATGTCTGGCAAATTATGTATGATATTAAGTGGCCAAAAAACTTTACGATTTTTCGAATTACTTACAACACCCACGGGACTAAATGGAGCAATGGATTGTCTTACGTTACCATCACTAAGGAATCGGTAATATTAATTTATTGTATTACTATATCACCGTACTTTGGGTCGTCAAATACAGCAACGTTAGAGTTTATGACATGACACATTCCCATTTCAGTCATTGCTGATTGTATGGAAATAGAATAGTTGAAGTTTGAAGTGAGTGCTTGTTTGTCGAATTGTTTGAACAATTGTGCAGCCGTTTTTGCATAGTCCGCGGGATTTATGGGCTGAAATATAAAAACTAGTTTAAGATGTTTCTCGTTATCGAAAATAAAATAATTTTAAATAGGCATATCAATAGCCGTGGCATATCATTCTGGGCTTTTGTTCAGAAATGATTTCGCATCATTGAATAGCAGCAAAATGTTTCGGTTTGTTCGTGTGGTACGTTACGAAAACCGGAGTTCTTTTTTACTGGAAAGGAGGTATTTCATTTTAGTCTTCTTGGGTGATGGCATTTTTGAGCCACAGCATTCTTCTCACCATCAAGTGGATTATTTGGTTGTTTGTCATCATTCAGTCTATATTGTATTCATCGATGCAACAAAAATAAATAACAGTATTTTCCACACGAAGGAACTGCGATACGTTTTCGGGTTTACAGAGGGTTATTTTATTTTTAGTTTTTTCATTGCATTACGAGATCCCGTTAAAATTGGGACGGTTGATTATCTAATTTATTAGTGAACACGCCTTATCTCCGTCATTATCATCACCATCACTTCACTTCTCAATAGTTCGTACCATCTGTATGCAGATGATCTCCAGCTCTATGTGCAATTAATTGTTAACGACCTGAACGATAGTATTTTTCAACTCAAACACAACCTTGATTGGTTGTACAGACATGGTGTTTCGGTTAACCCTTCCAAATGTAAAGTTATGGATACTATCATAAGAATATTACTACCTGATTTATCCGACTTGTGTTTTTCTCTCTCTTCCGCTTTATAAGTGATATTTTGTGTATTATGTATTTTAATATGTTTCTTTTATGGTATAAGGGTGACAAGCAAGCACATAGTCCACCTGATGGTAAGTAGTTGCTGTGGCCCATAGATACCTACATCTATCCTCGTTTGCGAATCAAAATGCAGATGCGATGTCACCAGTGAGGACGAAGATGGAATGCCTCGTTTCCAGCAAAAAGGGTCTCCGGTTCGCTACGCTCACCATACGAAACACAAAAGCATTGAGTTGCTATTTTACACTGGTATTTTGTGAGAGCGTGGTCCTTCCCCGGTCGAGCCGACTCATTCGTGCTACAACTATACTATTAATATAGCTGCATCTACCACGTAAATATCTTGTATGTATCTTGTGTATCGCGTTATTTTATTTTCGTATTACATTATTTTACTTATTTAAAGATTTTATATATAAGCACCTGTTTATATATTTGTTATTTATCCTATTTATTAGAATTTTATTGTACCTAATATCATTATTACTTATTTATGATGTGATTGTTTACTTCTTACACAATTTATCAAATCATCCAGGGTTGACTGGTAGAGAATGCCACAAGGCGTTAAGTTTTCCCTTTATATCCCTTGTTATTTGGTGTGTAATAAAGATTAAATAAATAAATAAATCATTATTATTATAATCCTTCATAAGTTGTAACAAAACACGGCCCTGAGTTACCTGCTTCCATCGATTTCTTGTATGTGTAAGACATACAAGAAATCGTAACAAATAGGGGGTCGTCCTACAATCCGCTTACCGGTACGAAGCTGCCACTCTGGAACCTTTCTTCCCTATAGGCTCTTTCGAATATCTTTCGCACAGAGAAACTCCGGGCATAGATCGCTATAGCTCGCTCTGTGCGAATCACGTAGTAATCTTTTTAATATATATTTTTTATTAACAGAACAGGTTTGATAAATCGCATTAAGCTCTTTTAAATAATTTTCTTTTTTTAATGGCACGGTAAACAAACGATTAATATAACAATAAAAAGCGGCTAATTTATGTTACCGCGGATGACATGATGATGCAGGAATGACCATGTCGGTATGAGTTGGCTTTCGATAAATTTGAAATTCATGTAACGACTCTTTTCTTGTTATTGTTAAGTTCTTGTTATTGTTAAGTGGTTGAAGGGTAGGCGGACGTTTCGTAGTAGTCTGTTGTTAATTTCACAGTAAATATCTGCGTACGTCATTGATCGCATAACGTAATCGCTCGCTACGTGATTGGAGCGCGGTTGCGTCAGCAAGTAGCAGTACTTTCGGCTCGCCGCTCACTTAGCGGCCAGCCTCCGCAGAGTCTACTTCACCTGACTCGTACTCCTGTGTCGTATTTTCGAGAGTGGTATGTCGTGCCTAGTGTGGTGATGCTGGGGATGGTAGTGCTGACATTGACGGCGACGGGTACAGTGCGCGCCATTGAGTGAGGGTGGGAGGTCCCCTTAAAACTGGGCCGGACACATCATTTTCTTTCTTTCTTTACGCGGAATTAAGCAAATTAGTTTATAAAAACCCCATTAGAACAGGAATATTTTTAAAATTGTTATTTAGATTGCACAAAATATACTGTTGCTTATTACTTACATTTGTATTATTAGGATCAGTGAGAGCCAAGGCATCTAAATTATATTCAGCAGCAATGCTTACAGCCCAAACATATTTCTCTAGATACATTCCAGTTTCGTTATAAAGATTACTGAAACAGTTTTTACGTACAATTATTATTCATTCATTAGAATAATTTATTTATTGATTGGTAAGAACTTCGTAAACTTTAGAATCTAGTAATTTAGAATATTTTCCGTACCGTGTACTAAATGACGCATTCTTCTACTTAGGTAACTAATCACGCTTTGAGGCTAACTACTTAACGCGGAAGGGTGATGATGCTTCGAGTACTAAGCCTAAGTATTTACCACTTTTGGAAGGATTTTCTTCCATCAGTTCGACAGAGCCCCGTGCCAGTCAGTAAGAATTATTCCACGATACAATTTCATACTCGTGTACTTTGAAAAATATACAAAATGTTTTAACGATTTCAAATAGAACTTTCTGACTTACTCAACAAGTTTATTAAAACTTGTAAAATTTGCTTTTATAAGAGGACACAGTGTCAGTGCTGGATAAGAAATATTCCATTCCAAATAATCCATTTCTACGCTCATCACAGTAGGTGAGTTCTGTGAAAGGATTAAAAATATTTATCACTTTAAATTGAATTTAATCAGCCGATGACATTTATTAAGCATTTGACTTACAATAAATCTGGCGAATTGCGATGATATTAAAGTGTATATAATTATCAAAGAACACACAAAACTTACTATCCAAAATATTCTGAAAATAATAATAAAAATGTTTTATATATATAATCTCAGTATTTTAAGGTCATAAAAATATTTGTTTTAACTAATAATGAATAACGATAGATCCATTGAGTAGTTCTCAAGCTCACATACTTTGCCTTTGCCATCGATAAAAGCTAAACAGTACTTTGTTAAATAAGTTGCCTTCTTGCTTAAATCTCTTAAGATGCAAATATTTTCTATGATCTCAGGCGTGAACCATTTGGGTTAGACATACTCACGATGATTTGGAAAAAGCTTTTTATTTGGTACATATAAATTAATAATTTGTTTCAACTTGTCGTAAAAAAAATTACGGCCGAATTTACGTCTGCAAAGCTCATTAATTCGGACCAATCTAATTCAGCTAACGCAGTATAGAGACCTTGAAAGTCTGTCTTACGCCAATTCCAATCGGGGATCGCATCCGAACTCTCATCAGGCAAGAACTCCCCGTATGAGAGATTGATTTTGACGTCCAACGAAGGGTGATACTCAACTATTGCCACGTGTGGATCCAATCCAGGCAATACCTTCAGTTGGTTATGGTCATAGTCACTGAACACGAGATCTAACAAGCCACCGCCAGTATTAAATACCTTATTATGTTGCTGTAGATTACAGAAGTCACAAAAAATGTGATATTGAGTTTTAACATTAGTGCTGCAAGAATTAAGATTAAAATCACCTAATACATTCAAATTTGAATAAGTACACAAAGCATTTTATATGTAGGTCAGAACATCAATATACTCATCGTCGCATTAATTTGGTGGTAGGTTCACCACACAACATAAAAACTTTTCATTTTTGCAGCTCATAAGTGTGAATATCAGTTCCTTATCAGGTGTCATACCGTCAATATCCGAAATCAAACGAACCTCGCAGCTTTCACGCACTGCTAAGAATACTCCTACCCAACCAACGCCACCTAACCTATTTTTTTCGAACCACAATATAGCTTGAAAGAAAAAGTTCACCATCGGACACAGAGCTAGTCAAAAACGTTTCTGTCAAGGTGATAATGTCAAGATTAGCTTAAGTCACATTATTATAAAAAATCCTTATTTTGGAGCGTAAACCACGAACATTTTGATAACACAGAGTTATTTTCATAAACCGTTGACGCCTATTGCGGCGTATTATTTTTTTTGCTACGAAAGTTCAGGCGCCAAGGTTTAACACAAATATCCTCTGCTCAATGCGCTAGTGACATGATACTTTCAGCTTGCTCGGCCGGAACTCCTAGTTTAAACGACGAGTACCGTCCACGTGATTTTAATGCTTCCACACTGCAAACATCATTTCCACATATAGAAGTAAGATGAGTCTGCACCTGTTCGACAGCCTAGTGCAGGTACCTCCACCTCTCTGCAGCGCGCAAAGATGTAGCACCTGGCGCCGCAGTACCTCGAAGCACTCCAGGTAACGAAGCTATCAATTTTTTAGTCTTTTTCACTTCCACTCATTCCCCTGCCTGATCCACATTCAAGGCAGTGCTATTCACGGAGGCATTAGTTGACCGATCGACTCCCGAGCTCTGAGGAGTAATAACTGACCCATTGGAGGCCGTAAAATCTTGCTTTGCATTATTCCACTTTTTATTTTGTTGGCCTTTTGGGGTATTGGTGGGAGCTGACGGAGGGACGGTGGGTAATGATGCAGTTGTACTAGTCTCCTCGCCGTTTTTAGATTGAAACGATTTAGTTATAATTTCAATTTTATTCTCTAATTCAGTAATTCTACCTGTTAACCCAGTTATCATATTAAAAAGTTCGGTTTTGAACATGAGATATTGTTCACTAATCAAATTACTAATTTTAGTAGTCAAAGATTTTTCAAAATTCTCCTGTATTTCTTTTAATTCATGCACAACAGAAACCCAAATTTTCTCTAACAACCTACTAGATTACCTGTTTTGTCTGAAAGTTTGTGGTGCATAGCGAGCCCCAGTATGAATAGTTACATTCTCCGGACTATTAATATGTATATATATCGGGCAATAACTAGCAATACTCATATCATGCTTTAATTGTTCACGAATTGGTGTGTGTGAGTTATCACCTTTAGGTACTTTAAAACGACATTCAACGTAAATCCAAGAGGTTTTCAAATCAGAAAAGAGCGTAGCGTACACCTGAGCAGTTGAATTTGCACATATCAAGTCAAAATACTGTTTACATTTGATGCATTTCATAAACGGGTTACTTCGATAATTACGTCGCGATATCCCGCGCAATTAACTCTTCTAGGTGACATTGTAATACAGGTGACAGTCACTCGCTACGTATACGCCGGCCGTAGGCAACGATGACTCACTCCAGCATACTGGGCAAGCTCGTCGTAGGAACACAACAGTTATTTAAATTTTTTGAAATATTTTCTCTTATAACTTGAGAACTATTTTACAGATTTTGATTCTGAATGTACCACTAGTGAGCTTGTTGTAAAAGCTAAAAGGATAATATAGTTTTAACACCAAACGTCAACTTTAAACCACTAATTAAGATTGATTATTACGGAGCGGAATAAAACAGATGATAACCATTAAAGCACATGCGTCAATCATCAACCCACCCTATCAGACATAGATGCGGTATCGGAATGGAGTGAAGTGAACCATCTTCCTCTTAACGGGACTAAATGCAAGGTTATCACTTTTGCATTAAAACAGAATCCTGTGAGAAAGGGTGGCTAAAACTTTGTATAATGCGTATGTTCGAAGTAAACTAGAGTATGCATCTGTGGTCTAGAATCCTTACAAGAATAATTTAAAATTAAAAATTTTGTACAGCCGTCTAACTAATATAAGTTATTAAGAATAACTCATAAACTATTGGTGGTCTGACCTTGATTAAATTCATATGAGACCACATGAGAAGTATCAGCTATTATATAAAAAAAGAATCATCGAAATCGGTTCACCCAGTAAAAAGATATGAGATAACACACATCAAAAAAACAAAAAAACAAACAGTCGAATTGAGTACCGTCTTTTTGGAAGTCGGCACAAAAGTATATTCTCTTGTTAGAGAGGATACAACGTAAATTTGCTCGTTGGCTTTATAAGAAAATCATGGGTAGCTACTACCCTTATTTTTATTCTTCCTTATTCGTCTTGGGTATGGTTGATTTTGAAACCCTAATGTTTAGGAGAGCGATGTCAACTATTAGGCACTATCTTTCTATAATTCACCACAAGTTGGATTGCCAGTCGGTTATGGAGAGAACCGGTTTGTCGATGCCCAGATACCTGCAGAGAGATAATGGAGGAACGGTGGCTCCGCGCCGTAGGCTGCGTCTTCTAGATAGACCAGTTACGCGTACTAAACGTGCTGAATTTGCACCTACAAATCGAGCATTAACACTTATAGGGGACACACTCACTCAGCACGATGAAATTGACCTATTTGCAGACAGTATAACACGTCTGCTAACTTTTTTTTAAATAAAATTATTGATGACATGACAATTAATAATTCGACAATTTAATTTCTTTGACTATGTACTATTTATAACTTTAAATTTAAGATGTAATTTTAATTATGAGCATATTAGGATTGTTATTAGTTTTTATTGACATTGCATTATAAATTGATGTGACAAAATATTTCATTTTATAATTATTAATACTTTATTGTTTTAATTGGCTTTATTACAGTTTTAATTTCTTGACATGGGCTGCTAAAAGCTTCGAAATTTTATATTACTACTAGCTGACCAGGCAGACGTTGTTCAGCCCTCTCCAATGACCCTGTGTCCTATAAAAATTCTTATATTCGTAATAAATAAATATTGAGGGTCACTTATAAGGATAAAAACTATCCTATCACTCAAGTTGGACTAAACTGCACACAGTGTGCACAATTTCATTGCAATCAGTTTGGTAGTTTAGGAATTCATCGCGGACAAACAATGTGACACGTAATTTTTATATATAAAGATTATTTTATAATTAATTAATTTATGATGATTAATTTTTGGTGTTGTGGATGGATACAATTTTTGAAAAATTTTTTTGCATGTAAAATTTTACCTTGTGTGCATATTGGATTTTCTGTAAGCCACAAGTTTTTGAATGAAATAAATAAATAAAATACTCCCTACAGCCGAGGTGATAAATAAAATTTTAATTCACATTTTCGTCATTTATTGACTTCTCAACAATTTTAATATGAAATTTTAATATGAAAATCACATTAGTTAAAGTTCATTGGGTCAAATTGTACGTTGTACGATTTGACGATTGTAATTTTTGCGTAGTTTTTTAACTAAGTCAGGAGATTGCTCTTACCCTTATTCAAGGGTGCTCCAGGGATCCATATCCCGGGGGTATGTGTACCAATAATTGGGAAACACTTTACTAGGTAAATAGCTGTTATGATGCAGTAAAAGAATACAAATTCAGAAATGTACACGCAATGCCACACCCAGAAACGGTATACTATGAATTCTTAAGATCTGTGTAAGTAAGGTCCTATCCTATAAAAAAAAGAAAGGTACGAAGCATGCAATTAAAAACTGATAGCCGTTGATTTCAACTACAACTACAACAAAAGAGACTCAAATATCATAACATAGTATATAAGCAAAATGAATAGACGGTCGTGGTCTCGTAGCTAAAGGGCCAAGCGCCGTAAATTTTACAGTATGCGAGCATCCCGGATTCCATCCTCCCCGGCACCAATGAAATGTTTAGTTGCAATTTAAAACGTTCTCCTCGGCGATAGAAAACCTGAAGGGGGGGAACCTGAATAAAATATTTCAAGATCATACGAAGTCCGCCAAAACGCATTGCAGCAGCACGTCAGGCTTATTCTCTCAAAAATTAGAGGGAGGATGTCCCCAGCCGTGAGAGGTATATAAGCTGTAACTTCAGTTTATATTAAGCGAGATGACGCTAATACTAATAAGGAATAGTAATGTACAAAATTGTGAAAAATGCTACCTCTCTATCCAATTAATTTTGTGATCAACTATATATGGCAAACCGTGTATACTCGAGCTTTGAATTTCATTTTGCAAATATTTAATTAGTTCGCTTCTTTTACAAGTTGTTAATAGACGCCTTTGCGCTCTTTTCAGTCGTTTCTTTTTAACCATAATTGTTAATTACTTTAAACTTAAAAGCAAAGGGTATATAATCAATAACACACGTGATATTTATTACGTACTCAAAGTAACTCTGTATTATGATATTAAAAAAGAACTATTGATGAGGACTCTATTGCTGACAAATGAATATAAAGACTAACGACATCTGTAGAGTAGAACAAGTTACATTATTTCTCGCAGTTTATATTAAATTTCACCTCGTTGGTCTTCTAGTCGTAATAGCGACCAATGATCACGAGGTAGGTAGTTATTGGGTTTATATATCAAGAAATTCTTAGTAGTATCCCGGGATCAGGAACATGTCGGTGTTTCACCCCTTTGCTTAAAAAAACACATTAAGCCGTTGCTCCTGGGCCTTATCTGGGCCTCTATGGTCTGGTGTTGAATTTTTCTTAAAATTTTCGTAACTAATAGGCAGTATTTATTATTTCTGTGTATCGCAGGATGCGTGCAGGTAACCGGTGAACGGTCTTCGGTTCACTGTCTGATCTGGAGTACGGTGCCGTTCACGCGCCGATCGCTGTTAAGAAGTACAAGTTGCCGACGTGTTTAGCACTATAGGTCAGCGCATTGGGATGTGATGCGATCTTTTTTTGCATCCCATTAATAGGGTCGGGTTTGTTTTTAACGGATGATCCTAAAGTTTCTGATTCTGTCGGTGGTACTTCAGGTAATGAAACTCTTTATTCTATCATCTGTGGTGCCCGACAGAGGCAGAAATGCATCACGTTACAAGCAGGAGTGCTCCTAAGCCTGGGTGGACACATCGACGTCTCGGGATGTAAAGACCAGCGTCCTTACAAAGAAGTATAATTCTGCCTCCAGGTCGTTCAACTGAGCCATTGTCAAAGCAAATTCAAAGCACATTGGCAGAATTGGCGAGAAACTTCTTCGCCTTCTATCGGGAATCTTCTTTAATAGTCTTTCCAAGGCTATCCAAGGGAACTTCTGTCAACCATCATTTTTTTAAAATAAAATGTGACTTTAACTGTGGTTACTGACTTTAATTGAGATGCTAACTGCTATATATGCGTCTATATAACACTAAGTTTCCAGAGATTTCTAGGTAGATTGTCGTTAGTTTATGTGATTTACAAGAAATAATTAAATATTTAACATTTAGTTTCTCTTGAAATAATTAGGAGCATTCGTATTATTTAGTAATATAATTGATCCTCAATTTTATTACCAACGGATCTTATTGAAATTTATGAGACCGATGTAAAAATGTTCCATTAAAAATCAACAAAATGGGTTTAGAATATTGTGTACACATACATTAAAAATATAGGTTCAAATTGTTAATCTATATTCAGTAGTCTTTAAAAGATATTGTCATTTCATCAAAATATGACACTTGAATAAAAATTCGTATTCAGCAACGTATTAAAAAGCACTATTGCCTGATAATTTAATTTGTTCATAATAACTAGGAAAAAAAATAACCTCCCGTAAAGTAAATATTATGCACTTATTAGAACACATATTTTAACTGGTCTATTCTATGGTTTCATATAGTTAGTTAATGGATAAAAGATTGGATATATTTGAATACAAATAGAAATAATAGATATAATAGAGAATAATGGAGCGTTATTACACTACGTTCTGTCAAGTATTTCTACTCTGTTATTCAGTAACGTCACCAAATGAGTTAGTGATTGACAACGTTTATCGATTGGTGCTATCGATAAAAATATTAAACAGGATGCAGATTTAATCATATACAATATTTAAGGAGGTGAAACAGTAAACGATACTGTACCCATACCAATAAAGAAATTGGGTGGGTCTGTGTCGGGGTACACGACCGTTGGTTTTAACGTGAAACTAGTACAACCAGTCAACAAGATAGTCTTCTTTTTAAAATTTTAATATAATTCCACAACACCAGGAGAATTGCAGATGCATTTCCGGCCTTTTATAAAGGAGTAAGCTCGTTTCTTGAAGGTCTCTAAGTCGTATCGGTCCATAAAAATCGCCGATGGTAAACGATTCCCAAGAAAACTCCTAATAAATCGCACAGTAGTGGACTGCCAAGCATCCGAATTATGTGGATGGTAACGTAAGATTTGTCGTAATGTGTCGGTGAAATTTGGTGGCTGGAATTAATCCGAACAATTCCTCAGAACACTCCTCGTAGTAAATACGATAGCAAATGCTTTGGGGTGCAACATATCTACGCAGTGCCAGTGAATCCAGCCAATCAAACAGAACTCGGTCGTCGACGAGTCCGAACCTGCGCTTGTAAAGAAACGGTGTGCGCGGATGAAATACTGTCCCGCTCTACTGAGTACGCCAAGCTGTTTAGAAGCCAACTTAGCTTTCTCTGCCAAGTGACCATGCTGTAGATCATTCGATATGTTAACGCCGAAGATTCCGCTACTGGCTGCGGCAACAAGGGAAGTGCTCTGAAATTCAGGAGATACGACAAAGGAGTTCTTTTTAGCGGTAAATGCGCAAACTTGTGAATTTGTATAATAACTTATCGTGTAACGACTTTTAAGTTTAGTGCTTTCCTAAAATATGTTAGATTTAAAGTGTATTTTTGTAAAAGAAATGAATTTGAATAACTAAAAATTAAAAATTTTGTACAGTCGACTTCAATATAAACTATTAAGAATAACTCAAAAACTATTTGTCTCACCTCAAATTCAAATGGGACCACATGTGAAGTACCAGCTTTCAAATAAAAAAAGAATCATCGAAATCGGTTCACCCAGTAAAAGTTATGAGGTAACACACACATAAAAAAATATACAATCGAATTGAGTACCGTCTCATTTTTGAAGTCGACAGAAAACATGGAGGTGCTCTCTTATTGGATTTGACATTTCGCGATGTGCCTTCGACGATGCCATAAATGTGACTGCTGTTTGAATTGATTCTTAGTTATTGGAAATTAAATATTTTATTTTATGACATTTCATTTCATTCATGACGTCATTTATGTCCGCAGTCCACTGCAGTCCCTTAGAATAGAATTGAATACAAGTAATTAGGAATACTAATATTAAACTAAATTTAGCCTGATTAAATAAGGAGGTTCTCAATTCGATGTTACACGATATCTTCGTCAATTTCATTCCCGGATTTAGGCGAACCGATTTTAATGATTCCTTTTTATAAAATATTTCAATTAGGCTATACCTTAGGCATGATACTTTATGTAGATGAAGTTTTTAATGTAAATATATAGACGACATTTTAGTTGTCAAAAAATTAAGAAGTCAAAGTCGATGTCGGAGCTAAGACATAGTATATAGAAGAATTGAATCTCCGACTTCAGAAGGTTTATCTTACGCATGTAAGGGAGAGTATGCATATAAATAGGGTGATCGATTACGTTCCTGCCCTGCCCGTGTACGTTGAAGATGCCCAGGGGAGGTCGGTTGCGAATAACGATCAACCACGTCACGTAAATACGATACAGAGGAATAATGGTGGCGCCGTAGAAATGAACCAGGTGAATCGTCATGTAAGGGTTACGTCGTCGACGCGCGCCCAACGCCGCACTCTATCGCCTAAACATAGGTCGCCGTCGCCACATCGCCACGCGGAACGTAGATTACCGTCGCCGTATCGTCGCGATGTCGGTATACGTAGGTCATGGTCACCGAATAATCGCGATACATCCCAGAGTCATGTATCGTTAGAAGGTAATAGGGATAGAGTTAGGTCGCTCACCCCGAGAGGGAAAGATAGGGGTATAGAACGGCTAGCGGAAGCTTTAGAAAGCATGGTACGATTTAGACCAGCCGCCGCGAAGCAGACACAGGACTTGCCTATTTTTAACGGCTCGGCCGCGGAATGGTTAGCGTTTAAAGCCGCGATGAAAGAATCCACGCATCTATATGGATTCACGGATACAGAAAATATGGCAAGATTAAGGAACTGTTTACGTGATGAGGCTAGAGACATAGTAGTATCGGCGCTGCTGTTGACACTGGAGCAGTGTTTCGGCCGCCCGGAAGTAATTATAGATCGTGCGTTAGATGAGTAAAAAACGCCTGCCGCGCCCGGTTCAAACCGCCCAGGAATTAAACTCGTTCGCTATTAAGTTGCAAAATATGGTGTGTATAACGAAGAACGTCGACGGCAAGGGATACTTACAAAATCCGATGCTAAAGAGTCAACTTAGCCCTCACTTACGGTCGCGTTGGTGCGATTATGCGGAGCACTACGGAAGTGTGGATGAACCAGACATCATCACACTATTCCGGTTCATGATGAGAGAGGCTGACCGTACGTTAAGTTACGCCTATACGTCCGTAGCGCCGACTAAGGAATCTCCCGTAAGACAAGAAGCACCGCCGTTGAAAAGGATAGTGTTGACACGCCGCGTAGAGGATAGGGCCCGCGACGTAATGACGTTCACCACCCAGGAGGACAACGGAAGTGTCCCATGCTTGTGTTGTGGGATTGAACACCCAATCGCCAAGTGTGGGAAACTGGTACAGATGGACCTGGACGACCGGTGGAAGTGGGTGAGGGAAGATGGGGTGTGTTTTAGGTGTCTAAGCAGCAAACATCGACGCCTGAGGTGTAAGGCCAAAAAGTGCGGTGTCAACGGCTGCAACGCCACCCACCATGCCGTCCTTCACGTTCGCAAGGCCCGGACGCCTGGGACATCTGTCAAACCAGACAAAACCGTGCTCGTCGCGTCAAACGTCACTAGTAGTGCGTCAGTATTGTTAAAGGTGTGTCCCATTACCGTGCGCGGACCGCGTGGTAAGGAGATAGATACGTATGCACTTCTCGACGAAGGGTCCACCATATCTCTAATCGACGACGAACTAGCTCGCGAATTAGGCGCAGACGGTCCAACAAAGCCGCTCAATATTAGAGGCGTAACTAAGAGCCAACGCGAGGTCAACAGTAGGTTAGTTAACATAGGGATACGTGGCAAAACGCGAAATGAAATTTATAATGTAAGCGCGCGAACGATAGCTAACTTAACGATAGGCTCGCAGTCGGTCGATAAGGAG